GATCTTCTTTCCTTAACCACTGAAATATTTATTAACATACTGTGATTTTCAGCTAATCCAGAGCATGCACTGTAATACTTTGGAAGAAAATGAACAGAGTAACACTTTGGAAGGAAATGAAGGTGGTATATTAGGTGATGTATGTTTGCATATTCTCTTCAGAGTAATTACTGAGTTTCTAGTACATGAATACAAAGAGAAATACCTCTTGATATTACCTATAATACCTCTTGAAATACCTATACCACATATGCTAAATTTATATTTTGATGAGTGAAAATCAGGATGTTGTATATACTTTAGAAAGCTCACAAATATACTTACTCTATATAGCCAGTGTATTAAAAGTAATTCGGTAACTAATGTATACTACATAGGGCCACTTGAATATATTATAGCAAAAGGTCCCACAGTATTTGATATATGCCCACTGAGTTTTATGTGATAAAGAAAAACGCCATGAAATTTTAGAAGAAATGACATTTCCACATTGTTTAAAGAATGTTGCTTCCTGTGTTCTTGTAGATGTTGGAAAATTGCCAATTGAGATACTTCATTTTGCACTCTTAAAAGTAGATTTAGTATTGTTAAAATGGATTCAGCATGCATCTTATACTTTAATCAAATTTACATCTTACAAATGTATTAGATAACCCTAGTAAGAGACTTACATAATCACCAGTAATGTCCAAAAAAAAAAAAAGGAAGAGCTCTAAAACTTTTAATTTCTCCCAGGAGAATTTACCATTTTATATCATCAGCTGTATATTAAGTTATGGAAAGAATACTTGAAGTGATAGGATATTAATTTACAAGGACAGGGTATTTTTTTAAAGTACAGACTGTCAAATATTTCAAAAGTTCAGGGCCTACAAATGGCCATATGAGTTTACATGAGCCTCAATCTTTCCTTCCAAATGAAATGAAGGCAATATTTTATAAAAAGTTTTATCTAAAGAAATCTGGCTTTGAAATAAAGCAGCATGCCCAGCATGTTCCTGTGGGGTTCAGTACTGCCTTAAGGACATGATTCTAGGCACATGCCAGTTAGATGAGAGATTAGCCATCTGTGTTCATGGCTAGTCCTTCACAACAGTACATACAGGATCTATGGCACAAAGTGACTAGTCCTTCCAGCAAGACCTTCCCATAGTGCCCTCTGAGACTGTTGATGTCAGTAATCACAAGAAGCCCAAGATTCCTAGGCCACTGTCGGGATCTGGGTTCTTGTCCCCATAGGATCTAAGTATACCCTTTAACCACTTCCCACCCTCTTCAACTCAAGAAAACTTTCCACTGTGCCCTTGAAGAATTCATGGTACAGCATCAACAAATCCCCTAGATTCTCAGCTTCTTTACTGAGCAATCCTTCCTCTTCTGCAATCCTTCCTCTTCAGTGCTTCTCAATCCTGGCTGCATTTCAGAATCACTTGGAGAGCTTCTTAAAGCTCCCAGTTCCTGGGCCTCATCCCACACCAATATCTCTGGGGGTGGGACCCAGACCTCAGTAGGCTTAAAGCCCCCAGATGACTACAGTGTACACAAGGCTTAGTACCCATGGGCTAAGTGACACCCTGTGCTCAGTCTTCAGGGGCTGCTCCCCAGACAGAACTCTCATCAGGAGGCCCTTCCTCTCCCACAGCTCTGGTACCAGCAGGGCTGCAGTGAGCAGGCCACTTGGTTTTTTCACTGCCACCTCCAAATACTAAGTATCTCTCCCCTAAAATCTCACAGCTTTCAAATTCTGGGAAATTCCTAGAACACACGGAGACCTCTTTACATGCCTGTTTCTTTGCATTTGTTTTTTTCTCTACAGTAAAGCTCTGAATGTCTCAGTTACCTAAAAAGAAAAGTTCCCTTGTTTCTTTAAAACTCATTTCATTGGTCACCTCAGCCATTCCACAAAGTCCTCCTCTGTCTCTCTAAGCTTAAAAGTATTGATAAAATGCTTCTTCCACAGTGCTTTCATCTTATAGTGCTACTTTAGTACTCATCAGACTGCTGGTGAGGAACAGCTGCCGTCATACTGTGAGACAATAGTGGTATAAATAGGAAAATTCTGAGTACATTAGTCTGCAGGGAGCCCCAATTCATCAAATATGGTACTAATATAAAACTGAAAAGATTATGCTTTATATCAAAAAACCTTGTCTTTAGTAAAGATAATTACACTGAAGCTGCAGCTCTATCACAATTGCCATAAGAAATCTGGCATGGTATCAACACCATTAAAGGGATTTACGTACTGAAGTACCAAACAGGCCCCTAGCAGAGAACCAACCTACATGATAAGCACCAACACTGTAGATGGCAGGCATTTCAGTTTATATGTGCACAGTGAGCTAATAAGTTCAACTAACTCTCATTTTAATACTGCTCCCTATGAAACAGTTAACCTTAATTACCTTTTAGTCATTTATGCTATGAATCAGTCTTTTTTTGTTCAAGTGTGCCACCTCTTCTGAGCTAAGCCAAAATACCATGCCCTGCTCTCTAGCCTGTCCACAGGAAAACGTGGGACCCCAACCATTTGATTCTTCATACAGTCAATGGGTCCTTCTTGATCTTACCTACAGTATGAAAAATAAAAAGATCTGTTCCTTTGAATGTATTCCTTCTCCTAACGCCAGGGCCCCATTTGTATAACTTAATCCAGATGTTCATATCACAGTGGTGCTTGGTATAAGTAGAGGCCAGATAAATGGTGTTTTATGCTGAAAACTTATACCTCATCTCTCTCTCTCGGTAACAGTAGAGATACACTTTTGGTGTATGTAGAAATAATCAAAATATACCTTTGTGTGCATAGCTGCAAACACACAAACTCTTTTCTCTTATATACTTTAAACCTACAAGTACATCACTGGCCGCACAGTTTTAAAAAGTGTTTCTTTCTAGAGAATAAAATGTTTTCTTGTTTATTATAGTCTAGTTTTCCCCATTTAGCAAGTTAAATAACATGAAAATTTTAAGTCCAAGAATAATCTAAACACATTTTCTATTAATCTCTTCTAAAAATTACTAATAAATATAATGATTTTAATTATACCAGGTTTCCTGGTTTCTACCCTAGGTACTACAGTTTAAGCCCTGTAAAAGAAATCTCTGTAGTTAAGTATAGGGTAAGGCAAAAGGAGTTTACAGTTGTGAGTACACAAAACAGTTTATTCATATATTACTATTTCTTAATTATTATATTATTTTCCATACAAACAACTGTAAACTACTTTTGCCCCACCCTGTCATCCCTGTAGTATATACAATTTTTCCCAAAGTCAGGAAGATTGTCCATATATACAAAGGAACACTAAAATAAGTAACCTTGCAGGCGACTTTAGAGTGTTTAGTGGTAAAAATGACCTCATGAGAGAGAAAACAAGAAGGATGGTCACCTAAGTGAGGAGAAAAAGAGGTAACACTGTCTATTTAGCAAAATTGCCATACGGTACTGGAAATAGGAGACCTATGATTAAATTTAAGTTCTGCTAAAAAGAAAGGAAGAAAAGAAGAGGAAGAAAACAATAAACTGAAAACAACAATTTGAAATCCCAAGCTAATGTGCAGTAAACTTTCTTTTTCACTTTCAGCCCTTCTAGAAAAAACTATTGGCATCAGATATAAAAATTTAACTTTAATCACATAATATAGAGATGAGGTGACAGATGAAAGAGGTTGGGAAATGTTCTTACCAATACCTTAAGACTGGTGTATAATAATGTTTCCTAACCACTAAGCCCTCCAGATATTAATAGGTATTTTATAAATAAAGAGATGAATGGTCACACAAGCGAGGAAATTGCCAGCTTTAACAAAATTGACCAGGTTTCTTTACTGTAGAACTTCAAAGCTTTTCATGGGCTCATATGCACTGGGAATCTCCCAGAGCAGGAATCTCCCAGCAGCCTGCAAATGTGTCTTACCACAGAGCCCTAGTAATGTCTTCCAAAAGACTGTTTTCCCACTAGTAGTTTGGGAAAAAGACTATTCAGGTGCCCCATACAGGTAGTTAGGTGAGTTTTTCCTGGGGCCAATATTCAGAATTGAATCCTGCACAAAGACTAAAGACAATTGTGTGTTTATTGGACAGGACCTCCTCTTTTGAACGTGTGTGCCCCACTTATAGTGAACAAAAGGTGGGGAGTGAGGGGAGAGAGGTGGCATGGGGCTTTCTGCCTGCATATCTTCCACACCTGTTTCTGCAGTCTAAGATCTCCATAGTTAGACAGCTGAGTTGAAGGCTTGGGTTAAGCGCTGGGCTCACTGTTTGCGTGTGATGGGAAATCTGGTAGACAAAGAAGCGGTCTCATACATTAACAGTGACTTGAGAATTCCCAGTTCCCATCAGATCTTCCATCACTTAAACCCCAAAGCAGGCAGGAAGCCCACGTAAAGCAGCTCAGATGAGGACTGCTGATAGCAGCAGTGCATTTCACAACCAGGAAGTAACTATTGGCTCTTGCACAGCAGGAGAAAGATAAGGAGACTGGTCACAAAGGCCCTTTCAGACAGGTCTTCCACTCATTCATCCAGGTGGCTCCCAAGCCCCAGTTTGAAAGCAGCAGCTGGCAGAATGCCCACTAATTTTGCTGTGACAAAGTCCAGGATTACTGTTGGTGCAAATCCAGAGCCTCATCTCATCTAGGTGCTCCTTAAGGGGACATGGTGAAAGCCTCAATTGCCAGTGCAATGAATCACTGTCTTCCTGTACACAGAGACACTCTGACTCCAACGATGGGGAGGGGAGAGACCTGTAGGAGATGGATACCCTCTACAACCAAGTATAAACTAGTACACATTTGCTTGGTTGCTTATTGAGGAAACTTTCCCTTTTCCACATGAGTTTAGGGGGACTGGTTGGATAAGAAGAAACTGAACTACTTTCTGCTCTCTTGGAAACCTGACTAGCCAGTTCTGTGGCAATCCAACCTTGCAAAGGAAGGACAGTGGTAAGACAACTTCTCTACTACCCAGCAGTTAACAGAAATCAACATGTCTCCTACCTGTGATGGACAAGGTCTCGGAGGGAGCGCAGGCGGCGGGGGTAACAATCCTGACTTAGTAGCTGAAAAGAAAAACGTATACTGTTAAGAACCACCAAAAACAAAACACCCTTCTACTTGTTAACTAGAAATAGCAATAGCATTCAACATGTTTAAGTTTTTAAAATCCATCTGGAGGCTTGCCCTAGCCACTGTGGCTCAGTTGGTTAGTACGTCATCCCACAGACCAAAGATCGTGGGTTCAATTCCCAGTCAGGGCACATACCAAGGTTCTGGGTTCAATCCCCAGTCCAGACATGAATGAGAGGGCACCTGATTGATGTTTCTCTGTTTCTCTCTGTCTCTTCCTCCCTCCCTCTTAAAAAACAATGAAAAAGTGTCCTTGGGTAAGGATAACAATTAAACAAAATCCATCTGAAGGCTTAATATTTTTTTAAAAAAAAAAGAGTACATGCTTTTTCTAATCCTTTCCATTTTCATGCTATCCAAAATCCAAGTATTTATATAGGAAATATTTATATAGGCTGTTGTGATTAAGGTGTAAAATGGTAGAGAAAGACACACTCTGATCAAAGGACTAGAATCCAGCAGAGGAAAAACAGTGGATCACTCATTATTCTGCTATTAATTTTTTAGTTTCAAATAATTTAGGTCCTTTTTTCTCCCTAGCTCTGGGCCATTACACTGCTCATTGGCTTAGCAAGTAGGCTGCAGAAACTGAGAGCCAGAATCCCAATGAAGCAGCAATACTACCCTGTGAGTGAGTAGGTCCAGCAGCAGTAGGAGAGGCTCAAAGTGATAGACTAAAATTATATTTATGGATTCCTCAAAGATCTCAATTTTCTTTTGTATCCCTAATCCTAATTATCATTGATAATTAAATCTGTTTCTAAAATAACCTGGCTGGCCCATATGAAGGGTCTTTTGAAAGAAACTTTCAGTCTAATTTTTTTTTAATTTTGCGAGATATAAAGGAAATTTTATTTTAGCCAAACTGTATGAATTGTAGCTTCATGAAAATAAACATCTGCTATTGAATTATAAAGTTCATAATCACAAAGAAATAAGTTTATTAACACATACCAGCAATTTAAACCACATTTTTTACAAACTCCTTAGAAAAGCGCAGTGTGCTCAATATAACTATACATAATTGCTTTATGTGCAAATCTGTAATGTGTGCTAATATTTAGACAATTTTCTGTACCTTACAGATAAACCATAGCAATGTGCTATGAACACTGAAGTTTTTGCAAGTCACTTTTGATTTGACTTAGCTAGATCAGACAAGCTAGAAGATGGAGTTCAGGGCTTTCCACAAAGGTAACTCGGTAATTTCATAGAGATTTTCATTCTGAGCCAGTGCACAAGTATGGTATAACTGTGGGCCCATCAATGGTTTGTCTCAATCTGTCTTCCACTAAAACTTATGAAATACATCAGTTGGTCAAAACTTCAGAGATGATGAGACCTTAAACAGCCTTCAATAACAAAGCACATAGCAACAGAGAATGACAAAAGCCTCAGGAATATCCTCATCAGCACCCCTATGCTATGCGTCCTCAGGGACTGGGCCTTTAAATTACAAGTTACTTTAAAAAACAAAATGCAAATACAAACAAAAAAATCTATACCTGCTTATAAGGAAAAGGCCTTGTACCAGAATAAAGTATTTGTTCAAATAACCCTTTATTAACAAAAGAAGACTAAGAAATAATGCTATTCAATGAAATTGATTTCTGCTTCCAGTCAAGATGGAGTAAGAGACCCGATTTACTCTCCCATTTGAAAGAGCCAAAAATTAACATATATTCTTTAATAATAAACAATTTAAGACACTAAAACAAAACATATAAAACAGTTTTCAAGACACTCGGAAATCAGGCAACAAAAGACAGTGATCTCTGAGAGAGAAGAAAATCATGTGACTGGCTGTCCCTGCTTACCACCCTGAGAGTTACTAGAAACAGGATCCACATCTAGATTCATGTCTAATTGCATTTTTACCATTACTTAATTAAAAAAAATACCCTATTTTGGTAAAAGATGATGTGAGGGTCTGTTTCTAAATATACATGTGAATAAAATTGTATCATCCACAAGTAGTCACAGTTTTGTTTCCTCTTTTCAGTATCTTTATTTTTTGTTTTTTATTTTACTTACCTGGCTAGAACATCTACATAAAGTTGAATTACAATGGTGATAAGGCAGGGGTGTCAAACTCATTTTCACCTGGGGCCACATCAAACTTGTGGTTGGTTGCCTTCAAAGGGCTGAATGTAATTTCAACTCCCTAACTGTTAAGGGGTAGTTACATTTTTACAGTCCTAAAATTATTTTGGCCCTTTGAAGGCAACAGCGAGGCTGATGTGGCACCCCCACACCCCATCCCCCCACCCCCAGTGAAAATGAGTTTGACACCCTTGTGATAAGGGCATTCTTGTCTTCCTTATCTCAAAGGTAAGGCTTTCACTATTTCACTATTAAATGTGGTGTTTGCTTTAGGTTTGTTGTAGATACCCTTTGACGGGCTATAAAAATTCCCATCTATTTTTACTTTGAGATTTTTTTCATGATAACTTGTTGAATTTTAACCAAAGCTGCATCTCCATCCACTGAGATGATGGTATAATTTTTTTTCCTTATAATTTGTTGACATGATAAATTATATTATGGATTTTTTTTAATACTAACCCACCCTTGAAGACCTAGGAAAATCCCAGCTGATAGATTTAGTTGGCAAAGATATTGTTCAGGATTTTTGCAACAATATTTGTAAGCTTGAGAGGTGGGTTTCCTTTCCCATCCATTTATTTTTTAATTCCAGTCAGCTTTTTAGCCCCCTCTTCTTAAATATAAGCATATGAGGAAGTATTCCCAAATACCTGCAGAAAAGCTCCTAACTTCAGATAGAGCAATAAAAATAGAAAAAAAATAACCTCAAAGAAACTTTAAATGCATATTATTAATACTGTCAGAATGATCATTCAATTTATTCCAGAAATGTTTAAAAATTTACTATGTGCTAGACACTGAGGTGCTGGTAAAAATACCAATGAAAAAAATCTCTACCCTCATGAAACTTATATTCTACTAGAAGACAGATAATAGGGTCAGAGCTAGGGATGAAATTTTAAATAGAGTCATCAGGGAATACCTTGAGAGAGAGATGTTATTTGCAAAGATGAAATAATGGGATACTACTGAAAAAAGAACATTCAAAAAATTAAAAAGAACACTTGGAAATTAAAAACATGATAGCAGAAAGGGAAAGCTTAAGCAAGTACAGTAATATCCAAATAAAAAGTCCACAAAGAGAAATAGAGCAAATAGCAGGAAGAAATCAATTAACTAGTTCAAGAAAATTTCCCAGAAATGAAGAATATGACTTTCTAAGTAAAAGAGTCCACTGAGTACTCAAGACAATGGAAAAAATAATAGATCCATGGCAAGACACATCAACATGAAATTTTAAAATACTAGAGTTAGAAGATTCCACAAATTTCTCAATATACTTCTCAATATACCACTGGAAGCTAGAATTCATTAGTAAATGCCATAAAAATCCTAAGGAAAACTTATTTCCACAAAAATTGTATACCTAAACCAGCAGTCTGCATGATGGTTCAATTAAAGATATTTCTTAGACATTCAGAGTCTCAAATTAAGCTCCATGCATCCTGTCCAAGAAAGCTACTCAAGGATGTTTCCTACCAAAACAAGAGAATAAAGCAAGAAAAAGCGTGACATGGATACAAGATAAATGAGATCCAACATGGGAGAAAGAGGGAGGAATCCTTGAATAACACTGTAAGGAGATGCCATGATAAAAACTATGTAACACACATGGAAAAACAATCACTTTAGATTTCTTCAAAAAGATTAATACCTGATATGTCAGAATTTCATAAGAACTTCGAAAAATTGAGACAGTCTAAAGTTGATTCAGGGGCAAGTACATTGAAAAAAAAAAAACCAAGCTGATTACTCACTCCAAGGCAAATGAAAAACACTGTGCAAGAAGCAAAGTAAATAATTTACCATATGGCTCGCATAGCCATAATATACAAACAATAATTATTAATCTGACAAAAAGTATAATATAACTATACTGAGAGAGTGGAAGAGGGGAAAAATGCTTGGGGGGGGAGACTATAGATGATGGCTAACACTGAAATGTCAATAAGAGGTTCTACAAATGTGTTATTTTGAAATATAAAGGAAATACCAAAATAACATGAAAGATCCTGTAGCAGAGTATATTCTTCCAAGTCTTCAGGTATATCAATGGCCTAGGAGGGACTTCTCAGACTTCAGTTTGTTCCCTCGGTTCTGCATGAAATTTTGGACCTTTCCCCAACCCCACCTATCAGGATACCAGCTATGACTATTCACTTTTTCAGCTTCTGCCCTCTCCTTCCAGAAGTCATGTTCACTGACTCTCAGTCAAGAGAAGGGAAAACTAACAGTACCTACTCACTTCACTTCACTCCAGATTTGGAGTAGCAGTAAGAAATCTTAAGATTCACCTACTCCCTCTCATGGCTTCTGAAGGGAGACAGGCAGTTGAGAGTATACCCACAGCCTCAGGGTTTTCCTTTGTTGCCTATCTTTCCAAAGTAAAAATGACATTAGCTCATGCATCTTCTCTTGTTTGGATGCTGCTGAAAAATCTCTTCCATGTGTTTATACTCTGTGTTCATTTCCTTTAATGGTAGGAGATATTAATCTAGCTTCAGTCTACCAATTTTATATGAGATTCACCTTTCACTATTCCCACAGCACATAAATACACTGCCTTGTGTTTAGTAAGTATTCACATAGTGTGTCAATAACGAATTGAATTCAGTAAAAAAAAATCTCTTCTTATAATATTTTTAGTTCATTCATGACCTTATATTAGATTCAAATATTTTATCCAGCATGCTCTAATCAATGTTCTTTTTTTTTTAAAGAAAAAAGAAAAGAAAAACTACACCTTAATGCCAAGTGAAATTGAAAAAATACATTGGCTGAATAATCTAGTGTAGACATGCAAAAGATGACAATGTACCTGTTCATA